TCCATGCGAGCCAAAGTCTCACTGCACACAGGGGCAAATGCAAAGACTCAGTGGACAGAGCTGTCTGTTTTCACAATGGAGGAAACGGAGTGCGAGAAAGATTTAAATAACTCAAGATCTCTCAGCAAAATGTACCAGAACAACTGTGGGAAACCAGCAAGAGACTGTCATGCTAGTATGTCTGTGCCTATTGTAATGATATACCTATTGCAGCAAAATGTCTGTCAAACAGTTGTCCAGCTTTATAAAAACTTTGCAAGCTACAATGAGAGAGTATGCGTACCCTGCAGTGTCTGACTCCACAGAAAGTGACGCCTGAATATTCAAATGTGCTGAAAATCCAATTTAGGTTTCACAAACAGTACAAGGCAGTTTCTAACCAACAATAAACCTGTTTTGGTGATAATTTAAACTCTGTTTATTATCAAAACATAATGGGCTTTTTTAAATAACATCCATCCATCTATCCACCCCTCTCTGGTGTGGTTGGGAGGGGAACTAGTGCCTTTCTCCAGCTAACGTTCTGGGAGAGAGTTGTTTCTACTGCCCTGTGACTCACTGGCAACCTGTCGAGGGTTTACCTCACCTTCCACTCCTGGAGTATAGGTACCAGCTTCTTGCAGCCAATCAAGAAGCTGTATGATAGACCAGCTGTAGACAGTGGTCTAATATCACTGTCCTCGAGGGCCAAAGTCCTGCAACTTTTAAATGTGTCCCTTTTCATATACATTTGAATTAAATGGCTAAACTGCCTCACCAGCATAGTCAACCTCCACTAATGAGGTGATACTGGGGCCCGGTGTGATGAAGCAGAGCGAAATCTAAAAGTTGCAAGACACCAGGTCCATGAAGACTGAAGTTTGAAATCACTGTTCTAGACAATTGATCAATAAATATCAACTTCCATCAGTTTCTATCAAAAATAAAAAGCTTACTGTCATGTGCTTGGTTAAGGTCAATGTTGGATGAGTTTGGTTTATTTGGTAGCAAATGTTACTTTGGTTCTGTTCTGTCTCTTTATTTGAACACATCAAATTATCCTGAGGAGTGATGGAGGGGCTGATCAGCAAATCCAGGGTGGATTTTGGTAAAATGAGGGCAAAACATATAACTGTGGATATATGGCACCTAAGAGCTACAGTTTGCTGGAACACTTATTGTAATCTCATAAACTGATTTTAAAAAATAAATAAATAGAAGGATGATAAAAAGATGATTAATTTCTCAAGAAATAATCTTATTTTGAGTAAACCGTTCTAATGGCTATGCCAAGGGTTCATTTGGGCTGAAGCAATAAATTCAGCTGGCCAGCTGAAGAGTGCTTGTCAGTGAAAAATCAACAACACATTATAATTAACCAGAGTAAGATAAAACGTGTTCAAATCTGCTAAGTTAGAAATGACGTTTTTTCAATTTTTGACTGAAAACCACATAGTTGTAAGCAGCTGTTTTTAGATAAATATGTCTTTTGCATTGTTGTCTACATATGCAAAAATTAAAACTGTATCATAACTGTCTGGACAGAAAATGTACATTATTCCAAAATATTCACAATTTTTCAAACCAAAAAGTCTTAGCGCATGTACAATTAGAGCAGAAGCAAACGTTTTCCTGAAATATCTGGCTTTTTATGCTTGTGCTAACAGCTTCTTTTTAGTGTTTAAAGTTTGACTCGTTTTCAAAGGAGTTTGAATTTCTGTGGCTCAGGCAGAGAAATTAATAGTTTAGCAGTTCAGATATCAAGGGAACTGCTTTGCTTTGGGGATATTCAGTCAGGTCAAAGTGCATTGTGATCTATTTCAACCTATGCAGTGCTCGACCTAAAAAGACTTTTACTCTATCACTTGTGGAATTTCAACAGCATACAGTACTATGAAAGCACTACAAATGGATAAATATGTTTGGAAAAAGTACACATATTACATCAGCTAATGTATAAATAACTAACCAGGATGATGGTAAGATGGACTGGTTCAATTGATGACTCAATTTTAACCTCTTGTGTTGACCCATTGCGTATAGAAAGCATTGGTGTGTCATCTATGTGTGTAGTCACCAAAGCCCTCAGTAGTACAACCTCTGCTGAAAGTAGTTTTAGAGACACGAATCATCCAAGAAGCTAATACACCGTCATACATGGCCAATTTTTATGTGAATTGATAAATATGCCTGACAGTGGCATTTAAACCATTACTTTGCTTACACACAGTGTTTTGTTTTCTGAAGATCGACCATAACATACTACATCACAGTGCATTGACCTGACTGGCATCTGGTGTGACTGAAAATTTCTCATTTGCAGATGGAGCATGTTGCACGATCACTTCACTCCACTTTTCTTTAACTAAAAGAAAAGTACTTCCCATCCCTCAACAAAAATGGGCAAAACATGGGTTGAACTTGGATTCTACCTTAATTGTGACCATGAAGTGTTTTGGTTTCTGTCACTCTTCGGGCTGCTGTAAATCATTGTTACAGCCATTGCTTTATCTTTAGCGGACCATGAAACCCCTTCCATCAAACACAGCAGGTCTCTAAGAATGTGACCGTTTCCCGTTTCCATCACTGACCCTCGTTCAATCTAGTGTCTGTGATTTATTTGGCCGCAGCACGCTCTCTCCTCCTGTTTCTCCCAAATTTGTTCTCCTGGAGCTGGAGAAGAGGCTGCTGGTGTGAGCGCAATTTCTGATCCACATTGGAAGTGGCAGGTGAATTTCGCCCAGCTGCTCCCCGTCTCTGTTCCACTTAGCAGCAACACTCCTATTTCGAGTCACTCAGTCGCTGCATGGTTATGGTAAATGAATGAACACGCTCTGAAGCAGCAGCCGAGTGCATCTACTTTCACAAATATCATCCTTGCATCATTATTCCTCTTTTGCCTCCTAAAATGTCAAGAGAAAGTTTCATAATTTCCAAAACTGCAGAGCTAAAGGCGGCTTGAGTTTATCATCTGTTTGCAAACAAATGAGCAGCTAGGTATCATTAAAGAGAATGAATTACACCAAAGACGTAAGTGGGAAGAAGTTTACATAGTTGAGCATTAATGCTCTTTGAATGGTTGGCTATGCTGGTGGAGAGGAATGCAAAGAAGGATAACGGAGGAGGACAATGATGAGAGTGTGATGGAGGAGGTAAAAGCAGGATTAAAGAAAAAGGAGGCAGAAATAGAAAGTGCATCACCAAGAAAAATGGACGAAGGGGACAAAGGAGGAGCAGAAGGCGAGAGTGAAAAAAACAGGAAGGGATGAATACAAATGAGACATCAAGAAATGTAAGTTTGCCTTTTGAAAACTTGTTTTGATTAAGTAATCAGACTACAGTAATATTATATTTATGGAACATAAATAGAACTTTTACATTAATGCAACAACTGAAGACGTTGGAAACTCATAGTTAGTCGACTACATTGTCAGTCAAAATTCATAATGTCAAATGTGTTCCATGTTTTAGTTTGATAGTTTTCACACTGCCAAAAATTGAAACATTATATATATATTTATATATATATTTTTTAATCATACCATTGTATGACACAGGAAGTCTTGAGAGGTTGTGGGAAAAGGACCATCACAGAGTTTGTTTTACAGATAATAGGTTAATACGAGTGAGATCCAAGTGAAAGCTACACTGACACTTTAAATAGCTGGAAGTTTAAGCTCTAAAAATAGAAGGACATGTCATCAGCACAAACATGACAGCGAAAGGAATGTGAGGGAAAAATATTTGGATGAATGACAGGATAAATTCCTCACCACTGCATGACAGGCTTCAGTACAGACACAATCACACTGCTCACACACACACACATATAATTGTATGTGTGTGCACACGCGCACACACTTTCTGCCACATACGCTGAAGCGCAGATCCTGGGGTGTCTAACTCAGAGGTTAAGGAACACAAAGACAGGAGGTCACCTGGCAGTAATGGAGCCTTTTGTGTGTGGAAATAGTCATTTCCCTGTGTAGTCTCGGGATATCACAGTGGTGATATGAAACCCTGTCATTTTGTTTTCCTTTTTATCGATTTCAGAAAGGAGGAGGTGTGGGGAGGAGCAAAACAGGGAGAAAGGCTGAGAAGAAGAGTCTGAGCCTGTGGAGGGAGCCTGTTGCGGGTGTTATGACTGTGGCATTGTCATTCAAATGTTTTGTTGCAGGATGGGAATTTGAGAGCAGAATGAGAGATGAACACTAATGGGAATCAAATGGAGGAGTGGAATAATTGGATTTGATTACGTCTGTCAGAACAGGACAGGATATAATTTGCGGCTGAAGTGATTTTCACTCGACTACAATGTGAAAGTCTGTAGCTGTACAGACGTTTAAAAAACAGATTCTTAGTCCAATTTCTTCTGCAGGTTGTCTGCCAGTTTTTCAATGTAATGAGAAAATTATTGTAAATTTTTGGTTGGATTACTGAAATGTTGGTGGACATACATCCTGGCCAGTGAATGAAGCATCGTATCATTAGCCTCATGACTTTTCCTCCAGCACTCGTTCCAGGATGACATTGGTCTTGAATCAAGTCTAGATAAGCAATTTTTATACTAATTACTTTCATCAACTTTAGACATATCTTTGCAGTGAAACCTTATGCCACAAAAATAATTCAGATTAACATAATCATACAATATTTGTCACAAGCAAATCGACAACCAGTTTAGGACAGCTTCATTCCTAAACCTACTTAATTGTTCTGTTTCTTTTTTGGTTAGATCTTCATTTAATAAATAATGATATGGTTGAATACGTTATGGTTAGGTTTTACCTCTGGCATAAGGATTTATTTTCTTATTTTCAGATTATATTTATTAAATACTCTTTTTAAAGCACTTGTACTTCTAGAAAAAGATCAGATGTTATTTTTCTAAGAGTCGACTCTTTTGTATTGTTTGAGGATTTTTTTATTATTATTATTTTGAGAGATAGCGACATAAGAAACAAACTTCCTGGTTGAATAAAAATAATTTTAAAACCAACTTTGTTTTGAGTATGAATAATTCTGGGGTCAGCCACAGATGAACAAATTAGTGTCAATAAAATAACCACAATAAAAAATAGAGGTTGCAAATAGACAAAGAAGTTTTCATCCCATAAAGAGGATATATTATCTGTCTCCTGTGCTTCTTTTTTATTTTTATTTTTACAATGCTGCAATATAATTTTAGGTCTTTTGTTTACTTGCTCACAACGAGACTATTTCTATCTCTGGTGCCCGCCTACATTCAAAACAAAACAAAACAAACAAACAAAAAATATATTTTATATATATATGTGTGTATTTTAAATGCACAAAATACACAAAAAGCAGAAGCACATCATCTGCTGGAGTGAGTTTCATTGCTGTTGTTGCAGTGCTGCTGCCTCTGTAACCGTTGGAAATAAAAGCTCCTTTAAGCAACAATGGTTATAAATTACCAAAAATAATCTGGCAGCCAGGAAGCATAGAGGGCCTGTCAGCACTCTGCAACTCCCCATCTGTCTCACACACACAGAAACACACACATTCTGCAACAGCAGCAGCAGCATGCTTTTTGTTTCCACCTCCTCCACCCCCTTCATAGTCGCATTCATTAGGATTCATATCCCAGAAAGGTGACTTCTTAGTCGGGCACAGTGTCAACTCCACCACCCCCACCTCCCTCAGTATCCTGCCCCACAAGCAGCCTGGAGGTATAGGCACTGTGACAGGTAGCGCTTCGCCCTCCTGGGAAGGGGTGTAGATCTAGAGATGTGTGTAGAGAGAAGGGGTTTCAGGGTGACGAAGAGCAGGATTATCAAGTCAAAGATGCCCCCTGTAGATAAGAGGTCTCTGGGGATGAGTGGCTGTCACAGAGCTCTGGGAACTGAAGCCTCTCTTTTCCGTCTCACTTGTCCTCTTCCTACTTGTGTTGCCTTTAGTCTTCTTGTCTGTTCTCTTTCCAGGTTTATCTACCTCTGAACTCCTACAGCCTGCCGTCTTCCTTTATCCTCCAACACTCATTCCCCCTCGTCCTCTTCTGCAGCACTCCTAACTTTGAGCACTCCCTCTGCACTCCAACAAATTAATCCAACCACTTGACTCCTTATTCACTGTGTTGTTAAAACAAATAAGCTGCTGCCCACAGCAGCCACCAGGGAGGTTGGTAGGTTAGGAAAAGTGCCTGTTTTTTCAGCACTTGTTATTTTTCAAACAGGTTTGGCTGCAACTGCTGTTCCATATCCTCTCTTCTGTGAAATACCTGATCATAAAAAAAAAAGAAAAAACTTTTTTTTTTGCAACCTTTAAAAACTATGAATTTAAAGACATCTAAAATCCACTGTGCATGTAATATTACAGCCCATCAAACCTACTTTGATGAATTGTAATTGAAATTGAGTTTAAAATACACACGTACAAGAGGAAGAAACTTTAAGGGACATGAAAATACTCAGGACAACTCCCGGTATATATTTTTCACCTCTCTCCCTAGAGCTATGCATTCTTGAATTTCTAATACTTTTAAAAGGCAGATTTTATCACACACAAAAAAAAAAAATAAATAAATACACCAAATAAAATAAACAAATACTATTGTTTTTAAGTTGTGTTGCATTTTATAGAAAGGTTTTTCGAATACCTTTTAAGACTTTAATGCAGAGAAATCAGCTTGCAATAAATGACATCTAAGCAATACTGGAAATGACTGGAAGCAGTCGCTGCTAACTTCAATAGATAAAAGAGTAAAGGTTCAAACACAACTCTCAAACATTAGCAACAATCACGCTTTGTCGATGCACTCTAAACTTTGACAAGTTGACTTAAAAAATTCTTGGAAACCAATTGCCTTGAAAAATGTAAGTAATTTTAACCACTATTCTAACATTTTGTTTACTTAACATACACTTGTTCAGTGTACTTAAGACCTTGTTGTATGAACTTAATTGTGTCAAGTTAACTTAGTTAAAAGAAGTTGTTTCTACATAGGAATTACAAGTAAATTACCCTCTTCTTAACTCAACTACATCAAGTTAGTTCAACTTACATGAACAGTACAGTTTACTAGCATAATGTAACAGTCAATAATCCCACAGGAACCTGGATGAAGTCTGCCATGGCACCTGCATCCTGTGGATAATAAGAAAAGTACAAATAATAAAAAGAATGAGGTGAAAGTTTTGATTTTTTTTCACAACCTTTGACAAACAGAATAGCAATACATACAAGATAAAACTGAGAGACGTCACAGGACAGCAGACCTCATGGCAACATCATTAGTCTCTACAAGTAAGAAAAATATAAAAGTAAGCAAAAGCATATTCTGAAGAAACTAAATCACATTTTTTCACAATAAGTGGCATAAAATAATTGTTCACCCTTATTTGTTGTCTGATTACTATTTTGATGGTTGTCCAATTAAAGGAGCAATGGCTATTTTTCTATCAGCTGATTATAATATTAATGCCACAAACTTTTGCTCCATCATTCATTATTTCAACAACTAGCTGTGTTTTTCCAGTCTCAATCACCCAAATATCACCAATACAAATTACCCTTACCCATAAAATATGACTAAATGTCCCTTTAACACAGCATCAAACTGGCTGAGTATTTTAAATGAGACGATGTGAGGGAAAATTTTGCTGATTTTGGGGCAGCACAGTAAACATGCATTTATGTATTTAATATAATAAACAAGCGTATACCTTTCAAACAAAGTACCCATTTTGTTTATTAATACAAAAAACTGCTGATGTAAATACTAACATGTAGCAATTATGCTCAGATTTGCATAAATATTTGCTCAGATGTTGCAGAAGTCTAAAAATCTCTTTCCAATCACTGATTTCTATTTCTTTATGTAAAATCAATCTCCTCAAGTGCAAATAACAACAACACTATTAGTAAAAGTGAAAAGTTAAGTGCCCCTCCACCCAAAAAAAAAGTTACTCAAGAAAATATAACAAACTACTAATACTCAGCTCGGAAGAAAAACAACAGAAAGACTAGGTAAGCTTAACTAGTCAGACTATTCTTAACTAGCTTAACGAGATTTATGGTCGTTAACTAGCTAACATTGCGTCTACCCGCATTATATTAATGCTAATGTTGCATTTAAAGGCGGCCCGGAAAAACACATTACTACATTTTATCAACGTATTAAACCGTTGTAATGGCTGTAAAAGTGCGGTGGAAGTGCAGGAGCCTTTTCCGTATCAGATGAACATACGAATAATGGGAAGTTCACCACTCAGAGACAAAAACAAGAAAAAAAAATCATAAAATAAATAGTTTTGAAGCCAGGGCGAGCACGGCTAACGCTGTGGTTGGACATGCCACAGAGTTAGACCTAATTGTCCGGTAACAATGCTACCGGACAATACATCAACAAAACACCCCATTCTCGACCAAACTGCATATGCAGAGCATTATAAGTGAGCAAAGTCATAAAACAAACAAACAAAGGCTCTTCACTAACAGAGACTTGAGTCCTGTTGACGGCATAGAGCCGTTAAAAAAAAAGAATCGGATTGTTCCTGAACGCCACCTTACACTCCGCGTGACCGATTCAAGTTAATACTACATAAATGCTAGCAGGCTTGGTTTGTCCTTAAAACATGCTAAGGGTCTGCAGTTGAAAGATTTGTAATTATTAGTCAGATCTCTTATCATGGACAAAGTAAAAGGCATGGCAGTTTTAGCTAATGTTGGACCCAGGAGTCCATGCTAACATTAGCATATTAGCCTGTAAAGACTTTTATGTGTCATCTTTTTAAAGAGAAATCAACCTGTAACCATGGATGCGAGTATTAAAGGCAAACATAACACATAAACATATAATGGAGATGAATAACTCACCTTTAGAGAAGCTCTGCTTCTTCCAATGTGCAAGTCCACAAATGTTCTGGAAGCACTGTTGAGCTGAAGCCTTCACTCCAGTAACAAAAATATTCAAATCCAGTTCACTCAAAATAACGTACCTTTCTCGGGCCTAACATGTACATTACTCACATGAATTGAGTTGAATGAACAATTTAGTGAGACTTGAGTAAAGCATACAAACCTAATTTAAGTAAGAATAGGTATTGTGATGCAAAACAGAGCAGGCAGAGGAGGAGAGTCAGTTGTATTTCTTTTGTTTTTTCTTCAATTGAAATTTATTAGATGGATTGGTTCATTGTCTATTTTTAGGATTTGTGTTGAATTTTAGCTCATAATTATAAAGATGTAAAGAAAGTTATTGATTTCCTCATCATGTTTACGAGCCTAAGCTGTGGTTCAAAGATTACTTGCATGCTACTTTTTTATGGCTGTCCATAAAATGTTGATGTTTTTATAACATAAGTTAGTTTTATTGGTGGCTTTAGACAGCAAATGTACAATAAGCTAATCTCCCCCTGTAAATTTTATGTCATCAAATGTTTTATTTTGACAGATGGAAGGTTAATACATCACTGTATCAGATGTAAATCTGCAGGAGAAAAAAAAGACATAAAGTCTGTACTGTGAAAAATATCCCTTTAAAGCATCACAGCCTGACTGAGTTTTCATTATATTTTCAAAAGCAGCTCTGTAAACAGTGGACAGCTCTGCTGGTGCTCTCCTGCCTCTGTAAGCACTGGCTGCTCATATAAGACAGAGGCAAAGTTGAGAGGCTGAAGATAAAGTTCTAGATGGTGGTGTAACCATCAAGTGAGGTGTTTAATGAGGCAGTTCAAGCACACCAACGAGGATAATACCTTCACACCAGGCTGATTAGTGTGAACTTCCCCTCCAGGCAATGTGCTGCCACCTAGTACAGGTCCGGGTGTCACTCTGGTTCTCATTATTGCTCTTCAGGAGAAGAAAGGTGACTTTTTTTTTATTTATAAACCTAAAGTGTAAATGCAGACTTACTTGAAAATTAAAATGACTGGTTAGATCTATGGTTGTATAATGATCTTAAAACTGGAATTAAATAGAAAACACTGGAGATAATTCTGCTTCCTCTGACCTCATGTCTTATTTTAAGCCTTAGATTTGTGTCGGAGAAAATCACATGAATTCCTTAGAGTTGTTGCCAAATACAAAAGTTATTTTCTTAAATAGGTAAAGTCTTTAGTCACCTTCCTCCTGTAAATAATATAAGACTCTTTTTTCACAGGGATCAAAGCCCGTTTTGGAAACATATCATATTTCTAAGTTGTGCTTTGATTGTCGTGCAACTTTTGCAATAAATTAACATGGTGAAGTTTAGTCTCAACATGCTAATTTTATTTTCTAAATGTGAACAGAAGAGTATATTATTAAATATATATACACTGTATTTGTTTTATCTTTGGTGCAGCACAATGACGATGTCATAGTAAAACATCTTGCACAGAAACCTTGTAATATGTTCAGATGAAGGGCTTTTGCCATGAATAAAATATATTTTTGATCAAATACAATTAACACAATTTAATCACCACAAATTGCCTTATTAGCACTAGTGTGCAAATATTACATGTAGCGTGAACAAAACCTTGAACTTTATCTTGAGAAGGAATCTGCTTCTCTCCCCATTTTAAATGACTTTGTAAATCACATTACATGATAAAATGAATTCTGACTTGATATCAAATTTAGCTTCTTTCTCCGAATGAGTCTGATTTTTGTGGTGTTTAGAAACTAGTTGTTTTGTTTATTCAAGGCAGCTGCAGCAATGTTGCACTCATGACACAACACAAACTCATAATGAACCTGTTTGACTTTAATCAGAATAACCCATAATTATTCACCATAAGGTAAAACACAGTTTATTATAATAACACTCTGTACGTGCAGCTGCTGTTTTCCTGTGAAATGATCACATGTTTAAAATATGTTTAGCATGCAGAGTAATTTTAAGTGGAAATGATTTTATTGAAAACCTGATTTTTTTTTTTTAAGAGTTTCACAACTGTGGAAACTGAGACATTGAAGATAAAGAACTCCTAATTCCTTTCAACTCATTGAATGGATAATAGGAAACAATGACATCGTCTAAAAGTCTCCTTTTGTTTTGTTGATGAGGTTTGGTGGATATCCCAAATACAAGAACCAAGAAACGCCAAGTTTGATTGCTTATTTAGGAGTAAATAAGCAATCAGGGAATACCTGGAGAAAATACATGCTTGCAAGACTCAGAACATGCTAATTCCATGCAGAAAGATCCCAGGCTAAGATTCAATCCCAGGTCTTTCTTGCTGTGATTCAACTATAAAACAAAATGCATCACCATGCAGCCTATATGGTGTAATTCTTTCTGTAATCTTTATTAGACTGTTCCTTTTTTGTTTATTCTTTCAAAATCTAAATATGAAAATTAAAAAGATATGTCTAACTTTAAGATGGTACTTAATAAAAACTCTGTAGGGAGGTGTGATTCATGCTTCACCCAGAATTAATTTCATTGACATGATGAGGCATATGATGCTTGCATATGCATGCTGCATATAATTAGTCATTTTGAAGTAAAGCTGAGAGTTCATGTAACATTAGTAGCATCCACATGATAACTTATAATACAAACAATAACAGCTGACAGGCAGAACAAACACCCTGTGCAGATTTACAGCACAAAATACAGCTAATAATAGTCCAGTGGTTTCATCTTCAAAATTAACAACAAAGGCTTGGAGCCCTTAACATCAACCAACACGCGCAATTAAATGTGTTTGAAAGTCACAAGTGGAAAGAAGCCTTTGATTAGATTTTTTTTTTCTTTTCACCATGAACTGTAGACATAAAAACTCTAAAGCATGAAGAGAAAAAAAAAACTAGTTAGGAAATAAAAATGATTTTTTGTATTCATCTCCAATAAATGATGAAGTCTTGTTTTGTTGTGCTTTTGAATAGCAGCTCTCTGCTTCCACTAGCAGCACTGTCTATGTTATTGTCAGAGCTTCCCACTGCAAGGACCATGAATTTATTATGATCCACCTGAGAAGAGGAATACACTTGAAATATCTAAACACCTGATGGTAGCCGTGAAGAGCTCTGCCTTCTACAGTGAGTAATTATACATCAAGACGTCAGCATCAAACATCAGCTCAGAGCTTCATTATCATGTGCTGACCAAAGGAGGAAGCAATGCCCACGTCCTGACCTTCATTTAGAGATTTGGATGAGCAGGATGGGGCAGGTTAGCAGGGATGGGCTGCAGCTCATAATGAGCTCCTTTGTGTCTTCTCATTATCAATGGGATGAGTTACCCTTACATCCAGGGAGCTTGTTAAGGGGCAATCCCTTTGGAACAACTGTCTACCAGCAGTCATCCCATTCCTTTATTTGTCTCTATATTTGAATAGAATTAAATTATGTCATCCCTGTTTCTTCCCGACCCGACCACCTCTTTCTTTTCATGTCCCACCATCTCTTTTAGCCTCACTCAGATCAGCTAGATTTCCCTGGAGTCATCTGAAAATAGCTCTGGATTCCCAGGAGAACAGATCCACAACATGCCATGTTTAGGATCGATCAGAATGACAGCAAGTGGAGGATAAATGCAGCAAAAGTTGCAAACAATACAAATGAGTAAATAGTGTTTTACATGGTGTAGTAAGAGTATTGCATTTTACTGTGTCCTTGCTAATAAGTCAGTTAGCCTTAAGTTAACTTTCCAGCATTGTATTTGATTTTACAAAAAGAAGAATTCTAATATTTGTTAAATTCTTTGAGTTTTTAATTTCTTTGAACGAGGTGCAAGGGTAACTAAAATTTTAGCGAAGTAGTTAGAACGAAAATTTAAAAGAATGTATTATGAATCAACTAAACTCTATTTACTACTGATCATCTTAGATTTAAAGAAAATTAATCTTTCAGTCCAAAGCAAGATTTTATTGCCTAGTTCTAAATTTTAATTCTTAAATAATTAAATACTTTGATATAGAAGGAAAAGGAAATTTTAAAAACTCGTAAAACCCTTAATTTTTACGAACTGTGTTAATTATTGTCCCCAAAAAAGTCACAATAGAACAAGAAAATTAAAGAGTAAACATTTTACTAATTAACAAACACTCTTTGCATTATTTATGAACAAATATTACATTTATACATTTGAAAAATAGAGAGTAAGTGACTACTTTATTCTTGCACTCAGATTTTTAATACAGACTTGGTAAAGCCTTGAAGAAAGTTCAAACAATAATGTCAAACTATGATTCTTTTACATTTTTGTGTTTCCACATTGTCAAATCTATTTGATTTTTAATGTTTCATTAATTGATCTGGCAAATCCAATGCAGTGGCTTAGTTTGCTTGAACTTGCAAACTTCTGTTAAAAAATGCATAAATCACAGGTGTCAATCTCCAGTCCTCCAGGGCCGGTGTCATGCAGTTTTTACATGTGCCACAGGTTCAAAACACTGGACTGAAATGGCTTAATTACCTCTTCCTTGTGTAGCTACGTTTTCCAGAGCCTTGCTAACGACCTGATTGTTCTATTCAGGTGTGGTGCAGCACAGCCACATCGAAAAGTTGCAGGACACCGGACCTTGACACCCCGGGCAGAATTATCCACTTTGAGCGAAATCTGTAAAAGACTAATGTTTTACAGCGAGGAAAATTTCACTTTCACACTAGAATAAAAGTTTGTTAAAAAGTTCATAATTTCTGTTATATTTACCACATAACTTTCCCTACTTATGCTTTTTGTTTCACAGGGGTATTCTTGCTAATAAAGCTGTGTCATCAGTTCAGTGAGATGTGTGAGAATGCTTCACAGAAAATAAATAAATAAATAAATAAATAAGAGCCATTAACAAGTTTTTTTTAAAGTGTTAATGCAGCTCAGCTTCTGAGTTTGACTTTAAAGACCACCGTAACACAATTAATGGGGGAAATAAAAAAATGATTTTTAAACATTAGTTTAAAACTAAAAATTTCTAAGACAAATTTATTTTTCTTTTCTTTTTGCTAATTTCTCCGTCACCGGAGGGAAGTGGATTGTGTCCGGCTCTGAGGACAACATGTTTTACATCTGGAACCTGCAGACGAAGGAGATTGTGCAGAAACTGCAGGGCCACACAGACGTCGTCATTTCGACCGCCTGCCACCCGACGGAGAACATCATTGCAT